GGAGGGAGGGAGGGAGGGGGGTGAGGGGAACAAGAAGGGAGGGAGGGAGGGGGTGAGGGGTAAAAGAAGGGAGGGAGGGGGGGTGAGGGGTAAAAGAAGGGAGGGAGGGGGGTGAGGGGTAAAGAGAGGGAGGGGGGGTCAGGGGAAAAGAGAGGGCGGGGGGGTCAGGGGAAAAAGAGAGGACAGGGGGGGTCAGGGGAAAAAGAGAGGACAGGGGGGGTCAGGGGAAAAAGAGAGGACAGGGGGGTCAGGGGAAAAAGAGAGGGGGGGTCAGGGGATAAAGAGAGGGGGGTCAGGGGAAAAAGAGAGGGGGGTCAGGGGAAAAAGAGAGGGGGTCAGGGGAAAAAGAGAGGGGGGTCAGGGGAAAAAGAGAGGGGGGTCAGGGGAAAAAGAGAGGGGGGTCAGGGGAAAAAGAAAGGGGGGTCAGGGGAAAAAGAAAGGGGGGTCAGGGGAAAAAGAAAGGGGGGTCAGGGGAAAAAGAAAGGGGGGTCAGGGGAAAAGGGGGGGGTCAGGGGGGGTCAAGGGAAAAAGAGAGGACGGGGGGGGTCAGGGGAAAAAGAGAGGACGGGGGGGGGGTCAGGGGAAAAAGAGAGGACGGGGGGGTCAGGGGAAAAAGAGAGGACGGGGGGGGGTCAGGGGAAAAAGAGAGGACGGGGTCAGGGCAAAAAGAGAGGCCGGGGGGGGTCAGGGCAAAAAGAGAGACGGGGGGGGTCAGGGCAAAAAGAGAGGACGGGGGGGTCAGGGCAAAAAGAGAGGGGGGGGGTCGGGGAAAAAGAGAGGACGGGGGGGGGGGGTCAGGGGAAAAAGAGAGGACGGGGGGGGTCAGGGGAAAAAGAGAGGACGGGGGGGGGTCAGGGGAAAAGAGAGGAGGGGGGGGGGTCAGGGGAAAAGAGAGGACGGGGGGGGTCAGGGGAATAAGGGGGGGGGTCAGGGAAAGAGGGGGGGGGGGGGGAATAAGGGGGGGAGGGGTCGGGGAATAAGAGGGGGAGGGGGGGGGGGGGGGAGGGGTCGGGGAATAAGAGGGGGGAGGGTCCGGGGAATAAGAGGGGGGGAGGGTCCGGGGAATAAGAGGGGGGGGAGGTCCGGGGAATAAGAGGGGGGGAGGGTCCGGGGAATAAGAGGGGGGGGGGTCCGGGGAATAAGAGGGGGGGGGGTCCGGGAATACGAGGGGGGAGGGTCCGGGGAATACGAGGGGGGAGGGTCCGGGGAATACGAGGGGGGGAGGGTCCGGGGAATACGAGGGGGGGAGGGTCCGGGAATACGAGGGGGGGAGGGTCCGGGGAATACGAGGGGGGAGGGTCCGGGGAATACGAGGGGGAGGGTCCGGGGAATACGAGGGGGGAGGGTCCGGGGAATACGAGGGGGGAGGGTCGGGGAATACGAGGGGGGAGGGTCCGGGGAATACGAGGGGGGAGGGTCCGGGGAATACGAGGGGGGAGGGTCCGGGGAATACGAGGGGGGGAGGGTCCGGGGAATACGAGGGGGAGGGTCCGGGGAATACGAGGGGGGGAGGGTCCGGGGAATACGAGGGGGAGGGTCCGGGGAATACGAGGGGGGAGGGGTCCGGGGAATACGAGGGGGAGGGTCCGGGGAATACGAGGGGGGAGGGTCCGGGGAATACGAGGGGAGGGAGGGTCGGGGAATACGAGGGGGGGAGGGGTCCGGGGAATACGAGGGGTGGGGTCCGGGGAATACGAGGGGGAGGGTCCGGGGAATACGAGGGGTGGGGTCGGGGAATACGAGGGGGGAGGGTCCGGGGAATACGAGGGGTGGGGTCCGGGGAATACGAGGGGGGAGTCAGGGGAATAAGAAGGGGGGGTCAGGGGAAAAGGGGGGGGTCAGGGGAAAGGGGGGGTCAGGGGAAAACTGGTCAGGGGAAAAAGGGGGGATCAGAGGAAAAAGGGGGGATCAGAGGAAAAAGGGGGGGATAGAGGGGAAGGGGGGGTCAGGGGAAAAGGGGGGGTCAGGGAAAAGGGGGGGTCAGGGAAAAGGGGGGGGTCAGGGGAAAGGGTCAGGGAAAGGGGTCAGGGGAAAAGGGGGGGTCGGGGAAAAAGGGGGGGTCAGGGGAAAAAGGGGGGGTCAGGGGAAAAAGGGGGGGTCGGGGAAAAGGGGGGGTCGGGGAAAAGGGGGGTCGGGGAAAGGGGGGTCGGGGAAAAAAGGGGGGGTCAGGGGAAAAAGGGGGGTCAGGGGAAAAAGGGGGGGTCAGGGGAAAAAGGGGGGGTCAGGGGAAAAAGGGGGGGTCAGGGGAAAAAGGGGGGGTCAGGGGAAAAAAGGGGGTCAGGGGAAAAGGGGGGTCAGGGGAAAAGGGGGGTCAGGGGAAAAAGGGGGGTCAGGGGAAAGGGGTCAGGGGAAAAGGGGGGTCAGGGGAAAAGGGGGGGGGTCAGGGGAAAAGGGGGGGGGGTCAGGGGAAAAGGGGGGGGCGTCAGGGGAAAGGGGGGGGGGTCAGGGGAAAGGGGGGGGTCAGGGGAAAGGGGGGGGTCAGGGAAAGGGGGGGGGAGGGAAAGGGGGGGGGTCAGGGGAAAGGGGGGGGTCAGGGGAAAAGGGGGGGGGTCAGGGGAAAGGGGGGGGTCAGGGGAAAAGGGGGGGGGTCAGGGGAAAGGGGGGAGGGGTCAGGGGAAAGGGGGGAGGGGTCAGGGGAAAAGGGGGAGGGGTCAGGGGAAAAGGGGGGGGGGTCAGGGGAAAAGGGGGGGGGTCAGGGGAAAAAGGGGGGGTCAGGGGAAAAGGGGGGGTCAGGGGAAAAGGGGGGGTCAGGGGAAAAAGGGGGGGTCAGGGGAAAAAGGGGGGGTCAGGGGAAAAAGGGGGGGTCAGGGGAAAAAGGGGGGGTCAGGGGAAAAAGGGGGGTCAGGGGAAAAGGGGGGGTCAGGGGAAAAGGGGGGGGGCAGGGGAAAAGGGGGGGGCAGGGGAAAAGGGGGGGGGCCAGGGGAAAAGGGGGGGGCCAGGGGAAAAGGGGGGGGCCAGGGGAAAGGGGGGGGCCAGGGGAAAAGGGGGGGGGGCAGGGGAAAAGGGGGGGGGGCAGGGGAAAAGGGGGGGCAGGGGAAAAGGGGGGGGCAGGGGAAAAGGGGGGGGGGGGGGGGGGGCAGGGGAAAGGGGGGGGGCAGGGGAAAAGGGGGGGGTCAGGGGAAAAGGGGGGGGGTCAGGGGAAAAGGGGGGCGGGTCAGGGGAAAAGGGGGGCGGGTCAGGGGAAAAGGGGGGCGGGTCAGGGGAAAAGGGGGGCGGGTCAGGGGAAAAGGGGGGCGGGTCAGGGGAAAAGGGGGGCGGGTCAGGGGAAAAGGGGGGCGGGTCAGGGAAAGGGGGGGTCAGGAGAAAAGGGGGGTCAGGAGAAAAGGGGGGGGTCAGGAGAAAAAGGGGGGGGGTCAGGGAGAAAAAGGGGGGGGTCAGGAGAAAAAGGGGGGGGTCAGGGGAAAAAGGGGGGGGTCAGGGGAAAAGGGGGGTCAGGGGAAAGGGGGGGTCAGGGGAAAGGGGGGGGTCAGGGGAAAAGGGGGGGGGGGGGGGGTCAGGGGAAAAGGGGGGGGGGTCAGGGGAAAAGGGGGGGCGTCAGGGGAAAGGGGGGGGTCAGGGGAAAGGGGGGGTCAGGGGAAAAGGGGGGGGGTCAGGGGAAAAGGGGGGGGTCAGGGGAAAGGGGGGGGTCAGGGGAAAAGGGGGGGTCAGGGGAAAAGGGGGGAGGGGTCAGGGGAAAAGGGGGGAGGGGTCAGGGGAAAAGGGGGGAGGGGTCAGGGGAAAGGGGGGAGGGGTCAGGGGAAAAGGGGGGAGGGGTCAGGGGAAAAGGGGGGGAGGGGTCAGGGGAAAAGGGGGGGTCAGGGGAAAAGGGGGGGGTCAGGGGAAAAGGGGGGGTCAGGGGAAAAGGGGGGGTCAGGGGAAAAGGGGGGGGTCAGGGGAAAAAGGGGGGTCAGGGGAAAAAGGGGGGGGGTCAGGGGAAAAGGGGGGGTCAGGGGAAAAGGGGGGGGTCAGGGGGAAAAAGGGGGGGTCAGGGGAAAAGGGGGGGTCAGGGGAAAAGGGGGGGTCAGGGGAAAAAGGGGGGGGTCAGGGGAAAAGGGGGGGGTCAGGGGAAAAGGGGGGTCAGGGGAAAAGGGGGGGTCAGGGGAAAAAAAGGGGGGTCAGGGGAAAAAAGGGGGGGTCAGGGGAAAAGGGGGGTCAGGGGAAAAAGGGGGGGTCAGGGGAAAAAGGGGGGGGTCAGGGGAAAAAGGGGGGGGGTCAGGGGAAAAGGGGGGGGGGCAGGGGAAAGGGGGGGGGCAGGGGAAAAGGGGGGGGGGGGCAGGGGAAAAGGGGGGGGGCAGGGAAAAGGGGGGGGGCAGGGGAAAAGGGGGGGGGGGGGCAGGGGAAAAGGGGGGGGTCAGGGGAAAGGGGGGGGGTCAGGGGAAAAGGGGGGGTCAGGGGAAAAAGGGGGGGGTCAGGGGAAAAGGGGGTCAGGGGAAAGGGGGGTCAGGAGAAAAAGAGGGGGTCAGGGGTAATGGAGAGAAAAACCGCTGTTGTTTGAAAGAATCCTTAAACCGACCATCGCCACTTGTGGGGGGAAAAGGGAGACAATAACTTTTGAGGCCGACTTGACGCGGTCTGTACCGGGGCCTGAGTTCTGGGGACCGACTCCGACCGAGTAAAGACCCTGAAGGGGGCGGTGGTGGTGGCGGTGGTGGGGGACGGGGGTAAGAAGTGGCTCCGAGCGGTAGACAGCGCGAGGCCGCCGCTCCCCCGCCCCCCCCCAGGCCCGAGGCCCCACCACACACACACACACACACGCGAGCCGGACCCCCGGCCTCGGGCCTCCCCCCCCCCACACCCCGGGCCCGCGCACGACGTCGCCCTTCCGCTTCGTGGCCGAGAAGAAATGCACGCGCGGGCCGCGGCCTCAGCCCCCGGGGTGGGGGGAGGGCGAGTGCTCGGCGGCGGCCCGACCCGACTCCACGACCCTCCTCGCCGGCCTGCGCGCGAACCCCAGGCCCAGGCCCCGCGGGGCCTGCGCTCGCTCGGTCGGTCGGTCGCTCGCTCGGTCGGCGCCGCCTCACCTCCTGGGCATGTTGCTGAAGGCGGCGGTGGCGAGGTGTTTCTCGCGTCGCTGCGGGGCCGCCGGCGGCGCTCCCTCCTTCCCGCTCTCCCTCCCTCCCTCTCCCTCTCTCTCCCGCCCGCCTTTGCCGAGTAAGTTTGGCGCCGAGGTGCCGGGACTTTCACTTTGCCAAACGGCGAGGCCCCGGACTGCGATCCCTCGCACCGAGGACGCGCGCAGTCAGAGCGCCCGCGCCGTCGGGAAGCCAAACCTCAGCGCGCGCCCCCTGCAGGTCGGAGGAATCCGTGGCACGCGGGGCGGGCGGGCGGTGGGGGAGGCAGCGCGCCCCCTTCAGGCCGGAGGTATCAATGGCAGCGACACGCCAGCGCCCTCAGGCTCAGGGCAGGAGGTGTCTCTCCAGTCCCACTGAGTGATAATAATAATAATAATAATAATAATAATAATAATAATAATCTTTGCGTTTCATACAGAGCCTCTCATCACATCGTTGCGACGTCTCAAAGCGCTTCACGGGATATACCCGTAAAGTGAATTGACTGTATATTTTGTGGGTGAAACGCGGCCCCCAATTCGTGGATTGAAGTGACCGAATTATTATTATTATTACTATTATTATTATTAATTTTGTCACTTCAATCTACGACTGTTTGTGGGACATTGCTGTGCGCAATCGGCGGCCGCGTTCGCCCACAAAAATACAGTCAATTCACTTGATAGTGTGTTCTGTGAAGCGCTTTGGGACGTCCTCCCGACGTGAAAAGCGCTATATCAAATGCAAGGATTATTATTATTATTATTATATCGTGCGAAGCGCTTCGAGACTTCTCGAAGACGTGATAAGGCGCTGTATCGAATGCGAGGTTTATTATTTTTTATTTAACTTGTGGGATCTGTTTTTCACAGAACTTAACAGCTGGAAGAGCGAAAACAAACACGGAGTGCGATTGTTTTAAAAGGAAAGACAGTGAAAAATCGTAGCTTTTGTCTTTGAACTGTTAACATCATCAGCGTAACTATTTACTTACACCTCACAGCAAATCAGGAAGGTTTCTGGACTGTATACCTCAGTATATCTTCTGTCTAACGCCAATGCTGCCCTTGTAACAACATATTTCTTCCTGACTCACAAATTGGATCTAATGTATCCTGCCTTAAAATTTAATAATAATAATAATTATAATAATAATAAACCTTGCATTTGATATAATGCCTGTCGCAGTGGGAGGGTTTCTCAAAGTGTTTCGCAGGATTTACTGTTAAGTGTAGCAACCGTATTTTCTTGGCAATTGTGGCAGCCGATTTACCTGTAGCAATGACCCACAAACAGCCAAACTATGCTTAGTTAAATTACCAATTAACCAAGCATACTTGTTCCAAGATGTTCCCCCCCCCCCCCCCGCCCCCCCCATGATAATAAATATCAAGAGTACACGTTTTCAAACAAAATGAATCTAAATTCAATGTACATGTACTATTTGTTCTTTGATCATTTGGGACTGAGCCATGAAAATCAGTAAGATCCAGTCTGTGCTGAATTAGCTGATCTCAGACAGGGGAATACTGCAGGCTTTGCAATTCTTGTCCTCAATTACACCTTTTGTATGATACTTTGAATTTATCATTTTCAAATTGTTCCCGCCATTACCACTGTTATGGTTACTTAGCCAGTGTGTTATATATTTTAATGCTCTTTGCAGACAAATTTGGAAAGACAAAATCTATAATTGTAGAGCTAAGTGTTTTCTCACCGTTTAAGTTTAAAAAGAGTAAGAAAATACACCATTACGTTTTTACTGAGACCCTCTCTCACTTTACAGAAACACAAGTCGTCCCGTGCTTGAGTCAGGGCACTTCAAGCGACAAAGGATGAAATGAAACGGAGATTGGAAAATAAAAGTCTGATAATTATGTGTCACCTCACCTTTAATAGAACCTGATTCACCAATTATCCTGGCGTTCGTGATCATAAATAATGATATTAATAATAATCCTTGCAATTGATATAGCACCTTATTGAATAATTACAATAACATACAGTATATCCTGTCAAGCAGTTTGAGACATCCTACCAATATGACAGGTGCTATATCAAATGTAAGGATTATTATAATTATTATTATATAATCAATTTACTCTGTCTAGTGAGGAATGACTAAACTATTTCAAAACTCTTTGAATCAAAAACAGTACAATGTACTAAGAAAGATTTTTTATGAATCTGATATCACACTTTATTCTAAGAACACAAGTTTCTTGAGGAAAAATCAATTCTGCTTGCCAATTGTTCAGATAACTAGATTTCTCATTGCAACACTCTATCAAATAGTACACATTTGTATAAAGGGAAGGGTATTTGATTTGACCCTGTAAAATATTGTGTCGACAGCACTTCTGATTTTTGTGTTTTAAAGCAAATAAAACTAGTATTTTCCATTCCGCTAAACACATCTGGTCTGAATGGTAATATCCATTATTTAAGCAAGACTTGGGACTGTAGAACCATGTAAATTTAATAGACAGAAGAAGGCTATTCGATTCATCATGTCCGTGGTGGGAATGGTATACCGCTTGTGGTGCACCGGCTGACCACATAGATTCTAAAACAAAGACATAATGGTGTGGAGTAATTATTAAACCCTGAAGTATTTACTTTCGGCCTTTTAAGGATCAGCACAGGATCCAAGATCAGGGGTGATAAGGATTCCTTTTGCAGGATTTGTTGCTTGTCTGTTACAAGAGGTGGCAGCACTGAAAAAACCTGAACAATGTAAGAGATAGGATTGGGATTACATTTCTTAACGTGAATGAAAATAATTGCATAGAATTGCAAAGGGCAAGTGGAGGTACATTGGAGTAGAAACTGAAATATTTCCTTTAGATTCACACTCCTTGCATTCACAAGGGATAACAAATACTTTGAAATGAATGGCTATAAAAAGGCTGTGAATCCAAAGCCGAATAATAAATCCTCTGATACTGAAGGAAAGACAAGTCAGCTTTATAATTAAATTGTTGCTAACGGAAAGCTTCTCAATTATGCCTTTTTTGTATATTTTACTTATATCGGTAGAACTGAAACGAATGGATCAATGCAACAATAACTGTCACCACCTTGCTAAACCTTAACATCTATATCAAATGCAAGAATTATTATTATTATTATTGTTATCATCTAAGCAACAGGAATTGGTTAATAGATTTAACAATGCAATTTCTAAATAGGTCTATTTTACGCATTTTAAACTAATATTGTGGAAATGGATAATCTCAGTAAATGAAACATATAAGTGTCGGATACACCAATAAGGTTCATTGCGGTGGACATTTCAGAAGCGTATTTTTCCACATTGGATAGATATCTTATACAAGATCAGTTGGATGTCTACTGAATGCCATACTTTCTAATTGTAGAGAACTGGTTCATACACAAAATCAATTGCACTCAGAAAATACTTCTGGAATAATGCTGCTTTTCTTCTGCATTTACTGCCTGTCAAGAGTCATAGACAGATCAATGCAGTGACCTGTTTTATTGATCAATGTATCTGAGACCTAACCAACATCATTACACTCAGCAAACTACCTGTCTTTCCCCATCAGATAACAGGTGCGTACAAGGGTCTTAGAAGTTGAAAACTGCCTCCTATTCAGCTGGTGAAAGGGTATTAATCAGTGGTGGTGGAACCAAGGCAGGGGGAAAGGGGGTAATAACCCCCCAAAATGAAAATATTGAGGGGTTGGATGTATGTCTACCTCTTCCCCCACCCTCCACTCCATAAAAATCTTCCGCCAACTATGGTATTAATAACAAGCTTCCCTTTGACTTGCCTGCTTCCCTCCACAAGAAGAATTTGAAGCCCAGTTGCCTGGGGTTGACAGTTCTTGAAAGTTTTTTACAGTTTATTTATTGAATCTGTCCAAATATGTCCTCGTTGCTTTTCCTTCTTGCCTCCTTTAACAACCCATGATGTTTATGTTAGCACGGGCTCATCTTTGCCAGCGTTTTGTTACTTTGAATGACTCATTTCTTTTTTTTTCTTCAATTTCTACTACGTTGGATGGCCATTCCTTTAGTTATCATGGTTTTGATCAGTTGCTCCCAGGAAAGGAAGACTTTGGTGCTCTGACATGCCCTTCATTACGTTAATCAGAGACTCGAACTGCATGCAGAACAAAGTGAAGAAAAAATACAGCTCAACACAAAAAACAGCACAAATTAAACGCACTTTATTTGGTTTCCTCTTTTATCTCCAGTATAGCAACTCACGCTGAGATTATGGTTTCACAATGTACTCGTATTTTTGGGTGGGAGGGTCAGCCGGGTGTCTGACACATGCGGAAACCCATCACCATGCTTCAGAGTGTCCAAACCAAGCTGAGGATTCCATGCATCCCACCTACCCCTGGAAATCCCGGGGATAGATTGTTGGAATGAAATGCGCGCTCTCTCTCCCTGGACGGACGCATCCTGCTTATCTAGTTCCGGAAAGCATTGGAATAACAACATCAACAACAACAACAAGATTTCATTTATAGAGCGCCTTTCACGTCGGGAGGACGTCCCAAGGCGCCGGACAGTTGGGTCAGGACCTGAGCATTGGGGGGAAATAATAATAATAATAATAATAATAATAATCTTTGCATTTGATATAGCGCTTTTCACGTCGGCAGGTCGTCCCAAAGCGCTTCACAGAATATACTCTAAAGTGAATTGACTGTATATTTTTGGGTGAACGCGGCAGCCAATTGCGCACAGCAATGTCCCACAAACAGTCGTAGATTGAAAATGACCAATTTATTATTGTTTTTGGTTTTGGAGGGATTATTATTAGGCTCTGTGTGGAGTAAGGAAACTTGCCCAAGGTTTCGCCCTCTGCCTGGAATTGAACTCTGGTCTCTCGCTTGCAAAGCGAGTGCTCTAACCACTGAGCTACAGGACTCCTGAAATGGTCAGGGTGAGGGAAGGGAAGGAGCGAGGAGGGGGTAGAGAGTCGAGAGGGGAGCTGAAGGCTCGGTCAAAGAGAAAGGTTTTGAGACCGGCCTTGAAGGAGGAAAGGGAGGAGGCGGTGAAGGCACTGGGGGATAGAATTCCAGAGCTTAGGGGCTGAGAGGCTGAAGGCCCGACCACCAATGGTAG